TCACCCAAGAACAGCCTACAGAAGAGGCTTTTGATTGTATAATAGAGCACTTAACAAGTACTGTTGGCTAGATGGATGAATAAAAGAATGAGTATTATATATACATCAGGCACTATTGCATGTGACCTGAGAGAATGAAATAACTACTTCTTTGGGAAAGTGTATTTCAAATTTCAGCTTAAAAATCAGTCTTTGAAACACCGTCCTTTTTTTTTCACTGGGTAAGGCTTATTCTGAATCAGATACTAGTTTATCTTTGGGATTCTGTCTGCTGGTTAGTTACACAACAGTATATTTTCAGCCCTGTAAGTACCAAAATGTAATGACTCCCAGAAATGAGAAGTAAATTATCTAATCCAACATTTCTTCTGCTCACCCACATGGTGTTACTGCCCTCTGTAGAAGTTATTTCATCCAAATCAGTGGGTACAAAGTGGAGATATGTTACCTCAGGGAGTACACAAGATAATTTATTTTGGGCTATAAGAAGAGGATATTAGCATTTCTTTTTATATTACTTTTTATGCCAATTGTTTAATTTCTATTTTTGTGTATAAGATACACACATATACACATATATACATGCATACTCATACATTCTACCCAATGCAAACACACACATATATACACAACATAAGCACTCACACATTAATACACACACACACAAACAAAATGAGTTTACATGCTCCCCCCCTGCAGCCCCTTTCCGCTTCTCCTGGCTTGCATGATTAGAAATACTGGAGAACAGTGCAAAACATTTTCAAAGGGAATCTTTAAAAGAAACACTTTAATGAAATAAAAATAATAGTAGTAGTTGTAGTTCATGTAATAGGAATTGTAATTCCTGTTTCATAATGAACATACACTTGTGGGTACTTTAAGTAGGTTTTTTACACCGAGGTAGCTTTCAAGAACAATCCATGACATGTTTTCTTAGTGAGATGTAATGAATTCCATCATCCTTGCTGTACCCAGCCCCTAATCTTGTATTTCTCTCCTAAATTGGCTGAGAATCAGGTTTTTTTGCAAAGGCTTGTGTAGCACAGTGCCTTGCCACACCTTCCTGGTGCTATTTGTCACAGCGCTGACATCTAGAGTCCATTGTGGCTTATTTGTCCTGAGCTTTTCTTTGACCTGCCTTGGATTTTCTATATTTCAGCTGTCATATTCTTCCTCTGTTCTTCATTCTGTTCTCACTTTTTGTTGGTAGCATGATGTGAGTTATTTTGCATTCCATGGCGGGCAGATTGCACTATAACATTACCCTGTGGTAGTGTCAGAGGAAATCATTTGTATTCCAAGGTGCTTTTCAAGATGATTTTCTCCAATGCAGATTTTGGTACTTTCCTTCCTCAGTTATTTTGCATTCCATGGCGGGCAGATTGCACTATAACATTACCCTGTGGTAGTGTCAGAGGAAATCATTTGTATTCCAAGGTGCTTTTCAAGATGATTTTCTCCAATGCAGATTTTGGTACTTTCCTTCCTCCCTCCCTCTCAACTTAGTCTAATTGGCCCATGACTTCCACCAACCATAAAGACAGTTCTTCCACTCAAGGCAAAGGCGCAAGGTATTACTTCAGATCTTCAGGGTAATGGTCATCATGCAGCTTGTATGTTGAATGAAACAAATACAGGATGCATGTTATGAAAGTAGAAGTTTTCAAAAATATTAAGAGTGTTTAGAATTCTGGAAAATTGTATTTTTCAGTTGCATTTTGTAGGGTTATAATATTTTTAGAATTACTGTTAGTTATAGTTTCCTAGTACTCCAGCATCCTTCTGTGTAGCCTGTTGTCTTTTCCATTTACCTTTGATTTTTTTTTTTTTAAGCCAATGGTGGATGTCCATTAACACTGCCATAACTTATGAAGTTGGATTTTCAGTGACTTACTTTAAAATTTAAACTATGGTCTTTCATACTTGGAAAGTACTCTTCTATTTTCGTAAGTGTTGCCTTTCTCCTGCAATAGTAAATAGCAAGCCATATTTAGGGATATATAACCAATGATGTCACATCGCAAGTAACATATAAGTTCCCATGCCCTCTTGCATTCTGGGCCCTAAGTATCCTTCCAGTAATCTTAAAGGTCAAGTTAGCCATTTTCCCTGTATTTAAAGTAAGATGTGAGAACTTAAAATTAATTTCTTTTTCAAACGGCACTGTCAAAGCCCTGGCTTAGAACATGTTACAATTCTTACTTCTAGGCCTGCCTTCAGGCCACTTACCTTTGCCTGTTTGCTGAAAACAATGCCTCAGCTTCAAGAAGGAAAGAGTATGAACAGGCATTTATAATTATTCAGTCACGTCAGTGTTAGGACAGACCATTTCTTTACTTGGATATACATTGAAGGATGAAATCACTACTTAGATGAAAATCCTTTTTCAAAATTGGATTAAAAAAAAACATCAGAAACCTGTTACATTTATCCTCTTGACTGCTTTTAGGAGGAAAATATCCTTAATAGTAAATGACTTCATTATTTTGTACACATTTTCTCTTTTAATTTAAATTTGAGCAGTCTGATCATGCATCATGGAAACTGAGTATCTGCTAGCTCTGAAACAGCATCTTGTTTGAAAAACAGACACTGTCAGAATGTATTAGAGATAGTACAGATGCATTCTTCCTATCACTCCCACCCAAGACTAAAGAAATACTCAGATTTTTATTTTCATTAGCTGCATCTTTTCTAATGTGAATTTATTTTTGCCTTATTAGCCATAAATAATGTTTTCTATATAATTTGATCCATAAGTGTTTACAGCATACATTTAATGCCTACTCTTGCATGCAAGATACTGTACAAAGTAGCTTCTAAGCCACAAAAGCACCCTGTCTATATTGAAAACACTGTGTATATCCAGTGTATTTCTGAAAGATTCCATGTCACTTACATGCCAGCCAGTTCTGTTTAGTCTTAGATCATTTGTTCTTTGTTATGTATTTATCAAAATATGTTCTGTATAAAAACGCATTGTTTGTAAAAATCCCCTTTTCAACTCCTCTAAAGGAAAACATGATTATTGATGGCTTGTTGGCAGCTTAGTTTTTTTTCGTCAAATATGCTTAATATTTGCATTGCATCTTTTTTATATTTTACACTTACAGGTTGTTGGCTTGTTTCCACATGTCTCTTATTATATAGTTCTTGAGCAATTTCCTGAAAAATACGCCGAGCGCTCTTCTTCTATAAATACAAATGAGAAAAACAATGTCTCTCTATTAGGACTGGAGGTGACAAGTGTTTGCATCATCAGCGCTTTTTCTTTCTTTATTGTCATCAGTCTCAGGAACTACCCCGTCCCCTTCCCCCCGTACATCTACACCTATGTTAACTGTTGTATTTTGAGTATATTATGTAGAATTTATTGTTGAGAACTGTCAAATTTAAATCACAGTTTTACTACTTTAAATTAATCATTGAGTTTCTTAATAGGAAACAGTATCTGTGGTTGTTCTCTGAGTTTCTTAATTTATTTTGGATTTGAAGTAGTTACAATCAGCCACCATTTAAAAGATATTTTACAAACATTGATCTGTACCTTTTGTGAGTCTTCTGTTTCTTTGTTTCTTACAGTGTTAGATTTTGACTGTTAAGAAAAGGAAAGTATTATAAGACATTTATGCATCAAAACAGTTGTGGTAGATATTTCATACCATATGATAAGGTTTAACTTAATATTTAAATGATACACAGTAAGAGTTAGTAGTTTTGATGTTATTTCTGAGGTATTTTTATTACATTAATAAAATAACAACTCAAACTGATGTTGATTATAGGATTTATAGCAATTCTAATATAACATACACTCTTCTAGCACACAAACAGCCAGAAGATATTCTTTCTTTAAAACTTTAGGCCTTTTAAAAATATTTTAAGGCAGCTTGTGATGTCTTTGTTAACCCCTTGTTGCTCTTAAAGACTGTTCTTAGGCCTTTCAGAGATACCAGTAATGCTCTTCCTCGCAGCAGAAGATAGCATATAGGATGATTATAAAGAAGAGCCACTTACTCCCATATTACTGGCTTTTCAAGAGAAAACACTGTAAATTGTGTACTCTGGTTAATAATTGCAGTGATGAAAATTTATGCTTTCTTCTACAGACCTCTCCTGCAGGTTGTGTTTCCTGCAGATGCACAGGGAGGTGTTAATTAGGTGAGCTATTTCTGATAGAAATTATTTCCTTATGGTAATATTCAAAGGCTGTAGGGACATCTAATGCAAAGAAATTTGACTTACCTTGGAGAGGACTGTGAAGATCATGAGGACACCAATAATGTATATAGAGAGCAGTGATAAGAGAGCTATCAGGAAACTCTGTAGTTTCTTGCCAAGTAACTTGGTTTCTTAGTTAATTACAAAAACAGAAAGAGACACAGTCACTATTGCAACATATACTATTGCAGATACATGTGTAAAAGTATAACTGAAGCTACATGTTAGAGGCGAAACATGAACTTACTCTGCTTGGCTATTCATATAAAAATTATTCAGGGTCTCTTTGATTCGAAAGACACTCAAGTATATGATATAGTTAAAGGCAAGTTCATCAGTTCTTTAAATGTATTATGCCAAAAATGTTACTCATTTCTAAACCTAAAAAAAAACCCCAATAAATTTAAATAATTACTTGTCATAATGCTAAGGATCACTTTTTGCATAAAGCATTGTTTGAAGTTAGATAAAAATTTCAAGACAGTTTATTCAAGGAATTTAAAATTTCTTTTGGTAGAAATGATATACAGATGCCAACAAGAGTGTTTGTGGTGTTTTAAGGCATTTTTCCATGTATTTGTTAATGCTGCCATTTATAGCCTCAAATGGTTTAGTATACATATCTGAGTCGTGAAATATATGAAAGAACCTGAAAAGGCATACATTATGGATCTTAGTGCTCACTACACACTTAAAAGACAGGCATTATTATATGTTTCCTTTCTTCCTTCTGATAAAAGTTTTGGAAGTAGAATTAATTGAATCCATTTTCACATTCTGAATTTCTCCTTGTAGAAGTGTCTTTTGCTCTAGGTAGGGATAGAGTAACATGCCATGTACTCAAGTCCCTGATAATTTACATTACAAAATACAATTAGATTTGTAATTATTATATTAATATGTATATTAACCTGTACTTTTAAACTATCCCATAGATTCTTATCCTGTGCACTTAATTTATACAACACATATTTTTGTTGTGTAAATAACAAATTAACCATATCTGTAAATCTTGCAGGTGCTGAGTTAGGAGCTCTGTAGGAAAGGCAGGAAATTACCATGTCTGTCTTAGCAATACTTTATTTCTGTTCCTAAAGAAGAATTTCTGTTCACATAAACTTGCAGTTTTGAGATCTTCATCTCTACAAACCATTTTTTCCTTTTGCCTAACTTTTTTTATAGAAGACTAATACAGTAAGATCAACAAATCTCCAAAGTTGTTGTGTATTTGCTTTGATATGTGTAGCTAACATCTATTGAGTACTTGCTGTAAGCTAGGCAACATTAAAAGTGCTTCATGTGTATTAACTCATTTATAGTTTATTTTACAGTTGAGAGTAAACTAAGGCTAAATGGCAATGGAATGTCAAAAGCCCGTTAGAAAACCCCCAGTAATTAAAAGCAGGGATTATAATACAGGATGACCTCAGGTCCTCAAAAGAACCATTGACTTTGGTTGATTTCAAGTTCATGTTTTAATGATCTTAATGCTCCTTCGGACCAGAGTCCTTGTTAAGAGCAGAGATCCAGAGAAGTCAAGGTTTTGCTATCCTTTTCTTCCTTTCCCCAGAATGATGTGAAGCCTTTTTCTGAAATTTCTTAATTTCTTAATTTATAGGACTTAGTGAGGTTTAATATCCTCCCTTGAATGAAGAAAATGCCCTGGGTTTCAGCAATCTCAAGAAGCCGGAGTCACACTGTCCCTTTCTGTTCTTTTGTCCATACAGAATGGGTAGGGTTAGGGAACCCCTTGGCTCTGCACCAAATGTGTGTTTATTCTCCATAATGCATATTTTTTTCTGGGTCCAACTCATGATTTTCCAGTGCTTTGTTTCAGATGGTGCAGTATTAGACCAATTGCTGAGAGAGCTGGTGGTTATCTCCTCTTTCCCTTTGGACTCAGTCATTATCCATCTCTGTGATATGCAGAAAGGAAGACATGGTTGGTCAGCCTTCACTAATAAAATGTAGATGTAGAAAGAGAAAATATGGCACCCAAGATAACCCTGACTTAGTGTCTGTGGAGGCTGGGACATGGGATTGGAGTAGTTCTTTAATCCAAATTTCATGTCAGCTTGTGCTCAGATCACATCCTTCACTGGCTGGGATATTTAAGTTAGCAAATTTACTCTTAATCTCTGCATATGAGTAATGAAATGTCTTGAAAGGGCTGAGCAAAATGCAGTGTACTGGAGTAAACCTTGGCTGACTGACCTCTTACCACCAGCATGGTCCCTTCTCCGGTTCGCTTAGCTCTCGGTTCCTTTGAACTGGGAAAGGCTATCCCACAGATATAGAGTGCACTGTCATTGAACGCCACCCTATTGACAGTGAGGGAAACTTGGCTCTGTGTCAGGGCTTCGTGCACTATGAATTTGCCTCTCTCATTTCTGCATCCATGCAAGCAGAGGTTCTCCGGTAGGTGAGTACCATAGCGAAACCACAGACTCATTGGCTTCTCTGAAGGGCATCCAGCTGTGGAGAAGGAGCACTGGATGGTAACAGCTTCTTGAGTGTAGTCTACTTCCAGGTAAGGCTGTTGAGAAACAGAGATGTTGCAGTCGCCTGCAGCACCTGTGTGAGGAAGCAAACAAGTTGTGTTAGCGGCTTCTCACTTTGCTGTGCCCATGTTTCTTGTCTTACTGACTTTTTTTGGGGTAGGGAAGCCCACATTCCTTTCTTTTCTTTCCTTTCTCTCAATATAAATAAGACTTTGAAAATGACACCAGGGGTCCTCACTTCTCCCAGCTCCACTTGTTTCCTGACCTTACCTTGCTGGCTCTCAGGGATGTCTGGGTGCTGAAGGTCAGCCCCAAGAGGTTCTAGTGGAATCAGCCTTGTGAGCAGAGGTGGCAGCAGATCTGGAGTTAGAAGTCGGGGTCCACGTGTTCAGTCTCCATGTACTTACAAGCTTTCCTTTGATCTCAGGCAGATCCCTTTGTCTCTCAGTGCCTGTTTCCTCATTTGTATCCTGGCCTCATGGGAGTGTTGTGTTGTCTTCACTGTGGTAACGGGTGTCAAAGCCCCTCACGCAGTTGTCTGTCCATGACTGAGCCCATGGGCAGTAGAGATTTATTTTTGCCTTGTTGAGGGGGGTTGGATTGCTAGGAATTCATGGCAATTCACAGTTGGCCCTTTGTGAGCCTGTTGTCCCTGTGGGAAGCATTGTAAAAGGCAAGGTGTATTTGCCAGGGGAAATGCCGCCTGGCGTAGCCCAGGGCCTCTGGTTCCCAAGCAGAGGCCTAGCGAGCTAGTCCACAGGTTTGGTTTCTTCCTGGCGCTTGTACTGCTTTGTCATGACCTGTAACTTTCATCTTAGTGGGTGAACAGTGGTTGTGATAAAGGGCTCTGACTTGAGCTCAGATCCCGGCTCTACCAGTTCCTGGCTCCATGGGCTGTGTGCCTCAGTTTTCTCATTAGAAAAACGGGGGTAGTATTATGCACTATGTGGGGTTCATGGAAAGTTTAAGTGAGATCACCGATGCATAAGGGGAATTTACTTGCCTGAGTCATAATAAATGTTTAATAAAAGGAGCTTTTATGCTGCTGCTGCTGCAACCGCTACTGCTGCTCCTATTCCCAGAGCGCCATTCGCCTGTTTCAGAGACCACTGGGAATGTCTCAGCAAGGTGTTTGCCCAGCTGGGACTAGACATCCAGTCCGGTGCTCTTGCCACCATGTGCTGCTACCCCAGCTGTGCAGTTGTCACCACTGTGGCTTATCCCAGGCACATGAGGCTGGAAAGCCACCAGGGTGTTTATAAATGGGAAGATCTGCCCTTACCCCTCTTTGGGGCGAGGGAGGCTCTATGTAAAATAGTATTGGTTGAGACAAATTGGAATTGATGCAAGTTTTTAGTCTGACTTTCACCTGGTTGTGTGTTTCCAAGTGGTCTTATTTGTCTGAGTTTGCGTTTTGCTACTGTAAATAAAACAAAAATAATCCACACATTCTGATGCTTCTAAGTTTCAGAGGCTGTTTTTGACTTAACATTTTTCTTACAGGTCCACATCCCAAACAGAAGAGATGTTAAAATTAGAACCATGGCATTTGTGATGCAAATCTATCTTCAGTGTTTTCCTTTTAGGATTTGTACAATCTGAGATGAGCTGGGAGCTTTTTAGTGACCTAATAAGTATAAGCTTTTCAAGGCCGAGAAGAGAGGGTGAAGTCACCTGGAGCTGACCACCAGGCTTCCTGCACGACTACAACCTCATGTGTCTCCTGCCTGACTCAGGTGCCTTTGAAGCACAGACACCTTACATGTGTGATGATCACTGTTTGCTGGCCATTTGCAGTGGAATTGGGCCTGCCAAGGCAGAGCAAAGTTAACCCACAGTATCTCAATCGCAAACCCTCTTTCAGATAGTGTCTGAAAGGGAAGCTTTTTCACTTTTCTTACAGAACTAATGACCCAGGGTAAAATAAGTATTTGCAACTTAGGAGTTTCCTGTCCCCACTCATCTTGGACTTCTATACAGTTAGTCTAAGTATGGGAGAGAACCAGTTGTGGAAGTTTCCGAGGAGAGCTCAGACTGGTGAGGAACTGCTGTTCCCTCCCCCACACCAGTTAAGCAACATCTTAGCGAAAAAAGGGAAGTTTGGATAGCACATCACGGCCTACCTCTGTGAAAAATTTCTCCTTAAGAACGTTCATATTCCATAGGCTAAGTAAAACCTACACAGTATACCCCCTGGAAAGGTGGAAAGTTTACCATTTTGGTGGAGGGAATATAAAGAGGTCACTTTACTATTTTTAAAAAGCAAGCTAGAAAATAAGTAGAAAACTAATTTTGACACTTAAAAAAAGTCTTACTATGGGAAATTTCAAACATGGAGAAGTAGCAGGCCAGCACAGCAAACTCCCTGCAGTCATCTGACTTGAACCTGACTTTGTATCATCTCCCCCCGGCCTGCTGTTTCACTCCTGTATCATTTTAGGGCAATTCTTCCATATTCAACCTTCACATCTCTCAGAATATATCTTTAAAGGATAAGGATTCCTTAAAGGAATGCTAATTAATCTAGTTATTATAGTAATGTATGCTTATTAATAAAAATTCAGAATAGTACTGAAAAGAGAAATAAGAAATCACCCATAGTCCTATTGCCCCAAATAGTTTAACATCTTGATATATTTCTCTACAGATGAAAAAACTAATTTTAAGAGTTTTTGCCCTCTTCTGCCCTATGACCCAAATTTTGTGGGCAAATCTGAGATTATTAGATTTATCAGAACCATGATGAGATTATTAGAGCTATGAGTAGGAAATACTTTGAGGGGAAAAAACAGGTATAAAGCAGACAGAATATTAGAAATAGGAGTATTATGGGATGGTTTTGCTCTATGGAAGGAGCCATGGCAGTTTTTTTTTTTTCTTTCATGACAAATACTTCTAATTTATGGAAACCCAGCTTTTCAGAAACATCGTTCTTTGAAAATATTCAACGAGCATTGCTTAGTGCCTACTGTGTGCAGAGCAAGTTTGTATGGGAACTAATTGTTGAGGACCAGCACATGGGATTTTAAGAATATTTTCAGCCCTTTGTTTGATGAGGTCCTCCTTTGTAAAGCAGCCTAACAGCAAAGGGAATTTTCAATATTAATCTGAAACTTTTTCTCAGCTATTCTTTTATTGCCTATTTGTCTGGGGAAAAGAAACTTAACCACCTTAGGTAATTTCCATAATGTAACACATTTAAAAATGAATCTGTAGGTACTTAAAATATACACGCATTAGATGGATAATAGCGATTTAAGTAAAATGGGGTAGAAAGAAAAAAAAAACCTTACCGATATAAAACAGAATCAGATTGATTTTCAGGCCGAGAATGATCTTGTCTCCGTGGACCGTCTCCATTTCTGTGTGTGCGCGTGCCTGTGCGGTGGGGGGAGTGTGCATTTGAAGCAAGTGGCTGTTTTTTTCTTTCTCTTTTTAGACAGGAGGAACTGAGGAAAGGAACTCTTATTAAGGAACCACAATCGGGAACTTTTTGAAATTGTGTAAAGATGGTTTGTAACCCAGCTTCACCATTTAAAGTCAAGATTTTAGCCTAGAGCACATTTCTAAATGCATGTCCTCATAGGTGTTGGAGTTATGAATAAGATTTTGATTTATATGTAGTACATATTCTCAGGAAGGAGTATTGCTTGGCAGACAATTTGTACTTCCAGTCTGCAGAGCATTCAGTTGCTGGTCCTGGGGCACTTGCCCTGTGTTTAGTGTTGGGCCAGTAACTGCTGGAAATGAAGCTGTAGCAGAAGGGGGGATGTCTTCATGTAGGGCCAAGTTAGTGAACAAATACACCATGGCACAATGAACAAGTAAGTTTTGTGACAATATATAGTCATACCCCAGCTTTGTGTAACCCCTTTTTAAATGTGCTGTTGAAACAAATGTGTGGGCCTTCTGCACTGTCCCCTCTGCCCCTTCATCAGTCAGGTTCTTCTTTGTAGGCGGCAGAAACCAACTCAGGCTGACTTAAGCAAAAGGGAATTTATTGAAAGGATTTGGGAGTATGTCACAGAGTCACTGGGAGGATTGGAAAATCATATGTCGGGGATATAGCCGAGAAACTGCCCCAAATTATGCTGTAAATCTGATATGAACAGCATATTTCTGCTGCCAAGCACTAGATGCGTGGAACAATGTCTCATCAGTACCACGCAGCACTGCCCCTGCCGCTTGGTCTCACTGCCACTGCTCTGTCCTCCGGAGAAGGACCCTGCGTCCCCACTTTTCTGGGTCACTAGCTCTTCATTCCAGGTCTGGCCTTAGGTCATGTGCCAGTGTCTTAGGCACAAAGGGCGGGGAAAGCTGCTTCCCCAGGCTCTGTGTCCTACCAGGGCTCTACGAAGAGGGTTGTACTGGGCCACCAGAAAGAATCGCAAGTCTTTCCACTGTAGTGTCTGTATGCTTGACACTCTTTGATTATGTATTTCCTCAGAGAAAGTTTTTCTCAATTGAATCTAGTAACACTTGTAATATATGTGCTTTTTTTTTTATTTAACATCACCACAGTACCTAAAAGCACTCCCAAATTGATACATACCTGTGCTTGTATGTGTGTGGCTATAGTTAATGCTTGGTGTATATGTGAAATTGAGTACCTTATTTAGCATCTCCAACCCTCCAGATGCTCGCTCATAGGTTTGGGAATGACGGACAGACTTTAGTCATTATTCCAAGGGATGCCAGGTTGCCTCATAGAGAAAAAACCAGTGTAAAGCAGACTATCATCCATTTTAGTGTTCTTCCTCTCTCTGGTCTTTGAGCTTAATGTCTGTGAAATTGTTCTGAAAAGTTAGGAGGTGGATCAGCTTCCCATGAAAATTAAAAAATTTCATTGGCCTATTTTTATTTTCAGCCTCATAAACCTAATTACTACACTGCATAAGTTTACTACATCAGTGGTATATTTTCTTGCATTTATCTAAAATCTTCTTTGAAATTTTATGTGTTACTCTCTACTTCCATATTCCAGTAGTCAATGAGCAGTTTTCCAAAACCATTAACCATTACAGCCCAGCCAGTCTAAGGGAGGGTAATATCCAAAACTGTGGCAGAGAAGGTAATTAGGGTTTTGGATCCAGATAAACATTTCTGCTGTGACCCAATAACCTTGCAAAGCTCGGGCAAGTCTTTCAGTCCTTCTAGTCTGAACATTATCTCTTCATCCTTCTACCTCAGGGGACTGGGGAGATGATTCATCAAAGCACCCAGTGCTTGACACATACCTAGTCCTTGGGAAATACTGTTCTTTCCTCCCTTCTCTCTTTAAGTAACTTGTTTGTTCAAGAATTTCACTTAATGTTTTTATTTGTTTTAGTAGGTGGCAAGTGGGAGAAACCATCAGAAATTTTGGAAATCAAGGGACAGAATTGGGAAGAACAAGTGAATAGTCTGCCTGAAGTTTTCAGAAAAGCTGGTTTTGTAATAGAAGCTTTCACCAGACTGCCATACCTGTGTGAAGGCGACATGTATAATGACTACTACGTGCTGGATGACGCTGTCTTTGTTCTCAAACCAGTATAAACATGTGGGGGCCGGAGTCTTCACAGTCCACCCAGGAATATACACTCCAGAAGAGGGTCTGCATCTGCAATTAGGAGAAGGGGGAGGACCTTTGGGGACTGCCATGCTAAATATCATGTAGGAATTAAAAAAGCCAAAATACTAATTATTTCTTTGTAGTATGTAAAAGGAATGTTTTTAAAAAACAAAAACCCAACTCTTTAAGGATTTTTATCGACTCTTTACTCAGTAATCCAGGTCACACTTCGATTATGGAAGATATTTTTTATACTTAATTGCAGTAGGGACTCATTCTCAGTCAAAGCAATAGTCATGACTTCACATGGAACCAATAAATGGATTGTTTTTAATAAAATGAAGATTGGCAATAAAGCTGTCCATTCATTTGCAAATATTGTTTAAGGTATAGCCACTGATATTCTCTCATGTTTAGAGATTCTGTCATTATTCAAGAAAATGTTTTTAATCATGCTAATAAACTTTTTTGAAGATTGACATTGAGTTTGAGTTATATAAGGCTTCCCTAGCATCTTTTATTGCTTGGCTCCAGAGGTGCCCAAATAGCGTCGTGAATGATGTAGGAGACTTGAATATATGGTAAAGGTAGGCTTCAGACTAGGTAGCGGGGCAGGGGGATAATTGCAGATTTCAGTGAACACTGTGGCAGGCTAGACTAATGCTCAGAACAAACTTAACTCACAGTACTTCAGGGGCCACCCCACTTCCATTACATGCTGCTTTGGGAAATGCAAAACACTGGGTTCTGACTTTGTGATAGCTTGCTTCCTACACAAGGATTTTGTTTTTCTGGGCAATCTCAGGTTCTCAGAATTGAAACATTCAGTTGTCTGCTAACAAAGTGCAACCTAAAAATGTTTTAATTCAACTTGTATACCTCTTTCCTAGAACTTGGTTCTTCCCAAAATCCTTAACCGAGTTTATTTGCCAAGAATACTGTTTGATATAGACCATGTTAGATTCATACAATCTAGAATCCGTGAGTGCCTCCAACCATAGACCCAGAAATGTTGCAATAGAGATGCTCATTAGCAAGATCAGTAACCATTGTGGATATTCCAAAGAGCAGAGCACTTAACTCAGAATCTAAAATCTCAGTATTAATAGAGATGCAGATTTGAGATTGTGGTTATTAACAATATGTTACTCTCATAACTTTCTTCAGCCACGTGTTCATTAAATATTCTCATTTATATGCTCATGGAAGTCATCAAGTCAGCGTATTAGCTGCAACACCTGGGTATAAAGGAGAATTAAAGCCTTGAGAAGAATTACTTTATTATTCATTAAGAACAGCATTCCCACATCCTCACACCAATCAATATCTTCCACTGTTACTGTGTAGTCATAATAAAGAGTTGGGTTATGTGATTTATGCAAAATTGTTATTGGTGCATTCTAATGCTTTTTTCCAGGAATTCAAATAAGTGAAGTGCAAATACTTAGCACCCTGGGTTGTATTAGTAGAGGAAATGAGTAAACTTAATGTAGTTCTTGTACAGTTGAGTTTTGCTTCTTTATAAACTGTCATAATCAGCAGTTGCTGTTTAGACTGCCAAACGAGAGTGCAAGTGTGATAGATGTACAAAGAGGCAGGTTGCCCCAAAGTGTTTCATAACTTTGAGAATTACTTTGATGGTCTGTTTTTTAAAGAAACCCGTTCTTTATCCAGAAAAGCAGAGAAAGCACATGCATTTATGCATTTCACAGATAAAAACAGTTTCTCAAAAATCTGACATTCTCTGGAAACCAGCATAATAAAAGTTCTGTCTTACAGTAAAAACTGAAACCAGCAAATCTCACATTTCTTATCCGTTCTTGAAAGTCTTGGTGGTACGTCGCCATTCCACTAGATGGCAGTGTTGCTTACTGAGTGTCAATGGCTTTTTTTTCCCCCTAGTTGGTATGTTTTTTTTCCCCAGAGTACAATAAAGCTGCCTTCTTGTCTGCACCATTCCTTGTGTTAAGTGCTTCATATCAAGTTAAGCTTGTGCTAGAGAAATTAAGAAGAGCTCTATTTGTGGTCCAAGCAGGCTAACCAACTGACCTTAAAGGTCATGGAGAGAGGAAATGCAAGCTGCACCTGTGGTTCATGGCTCCTTCACCTGCACTGCCGGCTCCTTCACCTGCACTGCCAGCCCCTTAGTGTTGAGACCTAATTTCGGAGGAGGAAATAGGAGACCCTCTGTCATTTCTCCCTGTGCACCCAGAGTAGCTAAAAATAATAGTGGATTTTCTGCCCTTCTGAATGTCATGCCAGTTTCTTATGTCGTTGACCTTTAACAGAAAAGCTGGGCTGGGAAATAAAGCAAAACAGTTGTTTCAAGTTGTCTTTCTGAGTAAAGCTTTGTTTCACTTCGTTTTCAGTAAAATGTTTAAATAGACTTGGAATGAAGCAAGATGTTTTCATCAGTTGCTTCCCACCACTTGGTTACCGGTGGAACTTTCAGGATCCTTTCTAACAACTACAGCACATTCAACATGGGCTTCCAGTGGCTTAATGTGACCTACCACATTTGTGCAGATGCCTAAGTACCCCCAAATAAGCTTATGTCCAGTGTACCCACTCATATTACAGCTGGAAGACCGTGCACTGAATCACGCATAGCTGTTTGGTCTGAGTTGTAGGAGTCCGTGGAGCACATAACTGGAACAATCAGGATGCTCACAAACAAACTTAATCACAAGATAGAAAACCATGAATTGGCAGAAGTTCACACTATATCCATATGAAGAAACGTTTGTAACCCAAGTGAGAATATGCACCCAGAATCAAAAAGGAAATACAGCAACACAACATCCAACAGCCTGTCTTTTTGCAATTAGTGGATGATGAGACAATAGGTAGGCAACAGTGAATAACAATAAAAATAAAAATACCATATCTATTGTAGCTACTTGTATAGGCATTTGTATTCTGCTGCTTGCTTTATCAATTCTTCTAATATATTTGTGTTATTTTTGTCTTCTATGCAGGAACTGATTCTAACTTTTTTTAGTTACTTGCTTTTTAAATAAACTTATTTTTGGAATAGTGTTAGATTTCAAGAAATCTTGCAAAGATAGTACAGAGAGTTCTTATATACCCCTTACCTAGTTTCCCAATGCTAACATCTTATGTAGCCATGGTATGTTCGTCAAAAGAAATTCACATAGGTATATTGCTATTAAGTAAACCACCGGTTTGGGGGATTTTGTCCATTTTTCTGTTAATAAATATTTTCTGTTCTAGCAGCCAATTCAGAATACCACACCCCAGTTAGTTGCTTACTTTCAAAATTAGTAGTGTTCACAGGCACACTACCATTATTTATCTTCTTCCAATTTTTTTTTGGTAGGAAAATACACAGTAGAATTTACTGTCTTAACCATTTTTAGGTGTACAGTTCAGTGATATTTAGTACATTCATAATGTGCAACTACTGCCACCCTCCATCTTTAGTTTTTCATCTCAAAAAACTGAAATTCTGTACCTATAACACGAATTCTCTCTTTCCTCTTCCCTGGGCCCCTGGCAACCACCGTTCTACTTTCTGCAAATTTGGCTACCCTAGGTTCCTCATATGAATGGAATCCTACAATATTTTTCCTCTTGTGACTCGCTTATTTCACTTAGCATAATGTTTTCAAGGTTCATTCATGTTATAGCACATGTCAGAATTTGTTTCCTTTTTGAGGCTGAAAAAACCCCATTGTGTATGTATATACCACAGTTTGCTTATCCATTCATCAGTGGACACTTGGGTGACTTCCACCATTTACTTATTGTGAATAATGCTGCTATGAACATGTTACACAAATATTTGCTTGAGCCACTGCTTTCATTTTTGGGTATATGCCCAGAAGTGGAGTTGCTGGATCATATGGTAATATGATTAATTTTTTGAGGAACTGTCATACTGTTTTTACAACAGCTGCTCCCTTTTACATTCACACCAAGAGTGCACAGTGTTTGAGTTTCCGCACCTCCTCACAACACTCGCTATTGTGTTTCTCTTGATAGTAGCCATCCACACCCGATGGGTGTGAGGTGGTATCTCATTGTGGTTTTCATTTGCATTTCCCTAAAGATTTATTTTTCTATTGCAACTTGTACAGCATTGGGTTACATTTACTAATTCTTTGTGCTTTATAGCTAACTACCTATACTGATATCACTGAATTGGAAACAGTGTTCACTGATATTGAAGTACTTTTTAACTATGAAAATTCATACTTTTGGAGAATTAGAATATCATTATATAAACAGAATTTAAGATTTTCCTCTGGGTTTTAGAGTCAATATGCTGTATTTACATGAATTAAACACTACATTTTTGTTACAAGACCATTTAAACATTCAATACTTGTGAAATGAAGTGAATATTTTTCCCTCTGATGAATGACCATGTAAAATTGGAATGACATATACCTGCACTTCTTAAGTTCTTAATAATTAAGAACAGATAGAATGCCCGAATGCTGTTTTCTTATATCCTGTTCAGGGGTCAACACAGAATACTGGCTTTAAATGCCTTTGAACCTTCAGCCGTTTTCAAATGGTGGGGTTGAGGATACATTAGCAGTCCTTTTTATACTCAGCAGAACAAAGGTTTTCCTGTACTTGATTTCACCATCTTGTTTTTATTATTATTTATAAGGTGGCTGTGACTGGTCATAAAGCCTTATGGGTTTTGCATTAGAAATAACATTTGTTACAGAAAAAGTAGAAAATACAGGTGGAAGAAGAAAATGCAAATAAACTTGACCTATCCTATACTTCTGAGAACTTTTTGGTATATGCCCTTGTAGACTTTTTTTTCCTATGCAGGGATGTACCCACACATACACATTTGCAAACTTCTAACATTAAAAAATGTAAAAATGAGAATATACTTTTTTTCTTCCAAGATGAATCACGTGAAATTTATAGACACCTATTTTCTAAATCAAAAATTGACAAAGGATGGAGACATTTTCCATCATTTAGGGCTTGAGAGTAATAAGCTTCTTGTTTAAAGGATTAAACTAGGAGCCTCGGATAAAAGAATGTTTCAGAGGGTGCTGATCACTAATGGTTTATTTATATAACAAATATAAATTTATGTTTATTTATATTTGTTATATTTGTTATATAAATTTATTTATATTTGTTATATAAATAAACCACTAGATGAGCCACAGAACAGTCATTTCTGCAGCAAACGTCTAAATTGCCACTGACAAAATAATGTCAGCAGTAGGCATTTCAGTTATTATTTAAAAATTTTCAGGATACTAATGTTTCCTTAAATGTGAAGGATTGCAAGGAAATCTCTAGAGTTCACAATTATGTTTTCATAGAAAAGATGTAAAACAGTTATGCACAATCCGAACAGGCGAACCTAATGCTTCAATGCATTTCCTTCAAGTTTTAATAAAAATGCATATACATATGTTAATTAATGTGTGACTCTTTTAGATATAAAATCATTTCCTTGTGTCACTGTTATATAGTCTTAGTCAATGCCCATTTAAATTGCTGTGACGCCCATACAGTTGATGTTTCATCGTTATGTAACCGTTTCCTTATTGGTGGACCCTTAAGTTGGTTTTTTTAATACTACCACCACTTTTTTAAATATGTATATATGTAATGCTGCTGCAGTAAATATCTTGGTGCACAAACCTTTTTTTACTTCTGAGGATGTTTTTTTTTTTCTTCAGATATGTAACCGAGCGAAAAAGTTGGCATCTCTGCCTTCATATTGTATCCATCTCCTTTGCTACTTAATCTTTGGTTCAAAAGCTTCTGCTCAGCTCTGCTCCCTGTACAGTAGGCTCGTCAATCATTAAAAGGAATTTTGTTCATTACTTAAGACTGATGCAACCAACCTCATCCCTGAAACTCGCCTCCCCCGAGGAAATAAACAATTATGTACAAAACGACGATGGGACTGTCAAGGACTTACAGGAACATCATGGCCACACCCATGTCAACGAAATAGCTGGAATCAACTAACCAAGGACAAGGAGTTTCACAATCCGTCTCAGATCCTTGCTGACGTCGGATGTCTGGAGTTGATTGGCCCCTCCTGACCTCAACCCCCTCCTGCCCCTCTTCCCTAACATAAAGGAAGCCTGCAATCAATCCTGAGTTAAGATGGTGCTTAAGGACCGGAGTCCACCATCTTCTGGGTCTGCTGGCTTTCCAAATAAAATCACTTTCCTTGCCCCAGCACCCGTCTCCGGACTTACTGGTATGTTATGCGGTGAGTGGCACAAGCTTGGACTTGGTAACAGATAAATTTTGGTCACATTCACTAAAAGATGTGAACATCTTTATAGTTATTAAAAAGAAACTTTTTATTATGGAAAATTCCAAGCACATAATGAAGAAGAAAAGGAAGGTGATAATGACCCCTCCTAACATGCATGTGCAATTATCAACACATGCCAATCTTGTTGCACCCATACTTCTTACACAGCCTGGTCCTCATTATTTCTGAGCAAATCCTGGACATCATGTTGCAGTTTTGTAAATATGCATCTGCAAAAGATAAGGACTATTACAAGAGAGCCAAATTACAATTATCACCCCGAAACTCCTAACCATTAAATATCCAGCAGTCATGTTGCTCCAAGTGTCTTGTAATTTTTAACTTTTGGTTACAAATAAATTAAAAATTTTTGATCTGTTTTATTTTAGAGCAGAATAATTGACATAAAGATATTTAATTTTTTAACATTTTGCTTGAATCCGGATCCCAGGGAAGTCCCTATGTTGCAATTGGTGGAAGTGTCTGCAGCCCGTCATCGCCCCTTCCTCGCCGGGATTTGAGCGGCGAGCGAAAGTCGTTTGCGTCTGCGTCCTGCACCCTCCGGGCGTGGCGAGGAAGCCCTGGCGGGACTGGGACAGGGAGGAGGTCGCGCGGCGAGGGTGGCGCTGCCCGCGCCTCAGGTGAGTCCGCGGCCCCGCCCGCAGGACCGAGGGCAGCCGAGCCGGCTCCGCAGGTGAGGCGCACGACAGGCGGGGAGGGAGGCCCAGGCGTGGCGGTCGCCAGGTGTGCACGGAGCGGGGTCTGTGGGGCCCGCTCAGCAGCTTTCAGGGGGCAGGCGCGTGGGTGATAAGACTTCCAGGAAAGGGCTCCCAACCCACTGAAGAATAGTGGTAAGGACGGCAATGAGGACAACTTTGTAGTAATAATATTTTTGCAGCAGCAAAAATAGTAGCATCAATAATAATACCTACCATTCTTTGAGTGTTTATATGTGCCGGTGCTGGGCTCAGTTCTTCACACGTTTCCCATATAAGGAAAGAAGGGTCTTTATATATTTTCCACAGTTTACTTCAAAGCTGTTGTGAGCCAGAAATGGGAAAATACAGGGCAGGTGAAGCAAACAGCACCGCAGACTGTGCATTGGATACATCTGTGAACTTTGAAAATGTTTACAGGCTTTGTGAGGGAGGACCCTGGCCTTCCCCTTGTTCAGAGGAGGAAATTCATGCGCGGAGAGGTTAGGCAGTTTGTTCAAGTGCACACAGCTAATAATGTGGGGGTCCAAATGAAAACTGGGACTCCAACCCTGAGGTGGCACCTACCACCTGGAGTATATAGGTTTAGGGGGCTGAGCAGAGGGGGCTGCTGAGCAAAGCTGGTGCCTGGAATCATTTAGCTCTGGTTTGGGGACCTGGCTCTGCCGCTTAGTAGGTCCCCTGCTGCTTGGGTGGGTCACTTGACCTCTCAGAACCCATTTCCTCATCTGTGAAATAGGGATAATGGTAATATTTGCCTCAAAGGTTCTGCAAGGATTCAGTGAGACAGCCCATGTAGAGGGACATAGATTTAGTACTCTGTCATTCGGTGGTTGCTGAGATTATGATTACTAGGGGCTCAGGCAGCCCAGCATTGGGACCCCCTCTCTGTCATTTGCTTGCATGTGACCTCTGTGTGCCCACTGAACTCATCTGTGAGACTAAGTAAGCAAACCTCAGGGCTGATGCATATGGAAGATGCTCAGTGAGACCAGTCCCTTCTTCTCTCTCCTCCTTTCATCGCGGAAGCCCAAGCCTTCATTGTACAATCTCAAGACCAAGAGACAGGAAGAGGAGTGACTGTCCAGGATCTCACCTTCAGGGGCAGAGCTGGGATAAGAGCTCAGGCCTCTGTACCTCTAGACCAGGAAGTGCCCACTCCCTTGACTTCTGCAACCCTGGGAGCCCACCCATTCCAACAGCAGGCGTTTGAAATATTCCAAATCCAGTCCAGTAAGTCTGGTATTCTACAGTGAGTCAAGTTAGCCCATTTTGTATGAATAGTTAATGAAAATGCTATTGTGAGAGTGTGTGTGTGTGTGCGCAGAAAAAAATCTCCTAGTTAGTACTACAGGCCCATATGTATATGTTCATGATACAGACCTTCAGTGGGGCTGCTCTGCAGATAGTCAAACTGTGTGATTGTGAATGTTGGTTTGTATATGGGACGGGATGACTCAGCAGTGGAATGTCTCAGAGGGTTTCCAAGTTTCACAGAAGGAGAAATGTCTCTCCGTCATAAGGGGACCAACGAATCCTGGTTTGCCTGTGACTTTTGGCCTTAAAACAGAACTGTTCTTGTCTGGGGAAACCGGAAGGCACGGTGGTTCGTCTCCCTGCTCATCCAAACGCTGGTGGTTTCTCAGGAAACCGCGTGCATGTCAGGCTTGTGGTTATTGTAGCAGTTTTTATTTTAGGCCCGACTCCCTTGCCTGCCTGATTTCTGCCATCTGCAGCGGGAAGCCTTTTGCTGGGGAAGGGGTTGGGCTCCTGCAGAAAGCTGTCCACACCCAAATCGCCATTTCCCTGCTCAGTTCTTTCACATCTTTTGGCTGGCCTCCTAAAAGAGGGTGACCCAAAGAGCTTTTAATTAAAACCAAATCCCATACTGGCAATGGGCCGGGTTTTCCTTGGAACAAAAACATCATGCACAGCAGAAAGCGGGGCATCTGTTTCAGTAATCATACACCTTTCCGTAGAGTTAATAGGGAGACCATAGTTGCACTAAGCATAGAAGCCTCATTGTCTGGGAAACTGGAGAATTGTGAATGAGGCCAGTGCCCCAGGGAAGCTGGCCAAAAGCAAGGGAGAAAAGAGGGCCAAAGGGTCCTCACAGACCCAAACCTAATAAGAGTTATTATGAGAGGTGAACGTACCCGCTCAGGGGTGAGATCGGTGGGGCAGACCACATCTACAAAGTGCTGTGGGATCCCGTTTGCCCCAAACCTGTTAGGGTACCTGGTTTTTGGTGTCTGGAGATTTCAAAAGTTTCAGTTTATTTTTGCCTGGGGCAATAACAGGAGCATAGATAGCTGTTTCCAAAGCTGGTTATGGAAGTCCCCTAGGGGAAGAAAGAATCTATTTGCATAATGAGCGAGGACATCGGTTAAAGTATTAAAGTATTAAAGAACCCTAGGGTGCCTACAAAGTAATCTCAGGAAACCATGAGTGTGCATTAGCAGGTTCCTTTCGAGTTCCTGCTGATGCTCTGTAACTGGGGCTTGGGCTGCCTGAGACTCAGACAAAGCAATTCCTGTTTTCATCTGATTTGACTTGTGTGCAAAACTTGCGTGGTCCGCACCTTTCTCCACTGGACTCTAAGGACACCATCCTCATTTGTTTTTCTCTCAGCCCCCTAGCCTGTTCCTCCTCATCTATCCACCCTCTTTTATGAAAAACACACAGTCTCTTTTGTTTTGCTTTTTATTCTAAGATCTTGTTTATTTGGAAAATTGCAAACACACACAGAAGTAGTTATAAGAATATGGTGAAACTCCCGTTCTCACCACCCAGCTTCAGTTGTAAACCCATAGCCAGTCTTGTTCCATTTTTACCCACCTCCCACCTGCATCCTCCCTCCCTTACTATTTTGAAGTCATCTCAGACATCACATCTCTGCTGTGGATATGTAAGTATGTAGCTCTAAAAGCAGGGTTGGCAAACTTTTCAAGTAAAGGAACAGAGAGCTAATATTTTAGGCTTTGTTGATTTTGGCTCTGCCATTGTAGCTTGAGAGCGGCCATAGATGAAACTTCAATGGATGGGCATGGCTGTATTCCAAAGAGACTTTATGTATTGGCACTAACATTTCAACTTCAGAAGTGAAATTTTCATGTGGCAAGAAATGCTGTTCTGTTCTTTTTTTTTTTAACAATTTTTTTTTTGTGAGGGCATCTCTCCTATTTATTGATCAAATGGTTGTTAACAACAATAAAATTCTGTATAGGGGACTCAATGCTCAATGTATAATCATTAATCCACCCCAAGCCTAATTTTTGTCAGTCTCCAATCTTCTGAAGCATAATAAACAAGTTCTTACATGGAGAACAAATTCTTACATAGTGAATAAGTTACATGGTGAACAGTACAAGGGCAGTCATCACAGAAACTTTCGGTTTTGATCATGCATTATGAACTATAAACAGTCAGTTCAAATATGAATATTCGTTTGATTTTTATACTTGATTTATATGTGGATACCACATTTCTCTCTTTATTATTATTATTTTTAATAAAATGCTGAAGTGGTAGGTAGATGCGAGATAAAGGTAGAAAACATAGTTTAGTGTTGTAAGAGAGCAAATGTAGATGATCAG